GTAGCTCTGGAAGAGAAGATGAAGAAATACATACAGTATATTAATTTGCCACTTTTAAAGCAGCATGTTTGGTTCTCTTCTGTATAGGAACAGTGAATTCATTTTAAGATTAAGGTTTCCTTTACACTTAGAAAGACAGGCCATAGAGTTTCTTATATGACGTCTATTTTCCCCCCATTCCAGAAAAGGTTCCTTTTTTAGACTTTTGGTATCTGTTTATTAAGACTGCTGGGGTAATATCCATTTGGAAAGTGGGACTGCAGCAAAACATTAAAAGAAACAATACGGGAGAAAGTGAAATGAAAGCAAATTATCTTTCCATTTAATAAACTAGCATTGACTTCCACTTAATGTAAGGACCAGATTTCATATAATATAGTAGTTAAGGTGTTTAATTAAGACAAGTTCAGTCTCAGACATGGAAGCTTCTTAGATGATTTGAGGCTCCTGGCTACACTCAGCTTATCTTATTTGATGAGATTGTTGTTGTAGAGATGCCCATGGAAGAATCACCACGAGCTCCTGGAAGAAATGGTCCCAGGAACTCAGATTTGGCCAGGTATAAGGATTTTGCAGTGGCTCAGTGTCTAAGATACTGAGCTTGTCGATCAGAAAGGTTGGCAGTTTGGCGGTTCGAATCCCTAGTACCATGTAATGGAGTGAGCTCCCGATACTTGTCCCAGCTTCTGCCAACCTAGCAGTTCAAAAGCATGTAAAAATGCAAGTAGAAAAATAGGGACCACCTTTGGTGGGAAGGCAACAGCATTCTGTGTGCCTTTAGTCATGCTGGCCACATCACCACGGAGACGTCTTTGGACAACGCTGGCTCTTTGGCTTTGAAATGGAGATGAGCACTGCCCCCTAGAGTTGGGAATGACTAGCATATATATGTGAGGGGAATCTTTACTTTTTACCTTTAAGGATTTTGCATCACAAATGCTTTTCTGATCCCTTCCTGTTGTAGGATAGAAAATTATTAAGACATTTGCTAAGTTCACATATTGCACTAAGCCACAATGTGAGTTTATTGGTGATGCCTCACAGTGTTGTTGTTTCTAAAGCCTAGGGTTTTTTTCCCCTCTGTGTTCTGGAACAATGAAACTATAATAAAACCAAAAAATTAATAACAATACAGGTAATCCTCAATTTAGAACCATTCATTTAGTGGCCATTCGACCATTGAAAAACCTATGACCATTTTTCACACTTACAACCATTGCAGCATCCCCATGTTCAGGTGATCAAAATTCAGATGCTTGACAACTGGTTCACATTTATGACGGTTGCAGAAATCCCTGGGTCATGTGATTCCCTTTTGCAATGAGCAAAGTCAATGGGGAAACCAGGTTCACTTAACAACTACATTACTAAATTAACAACTGCAGTAGTTCACTTAACCACTGTGACAAGAAAGGTCGCAAAATGGAGCAAAACTCACTTAACAACTGTCTCACTTAGCAAGAGAAAGTTTGAGGTCAATTGTGGTCATAGGTTAAGGACTACCTGTATGAAATACTTCTTTTTAAAGTTAGATACTATAATTTACATAAATACAAACTTGGGACAGCATAGAAATTTGCTATGAAAGTATAATCTATGCTATGCTCACAAAAGTATTAGTAAAGGCCTTTTTATATTAGTCTGCTAGCTACTCAACAAAACTGTTTTTAAAGTATTGTGATTACATCTAGGCATTTCTGCCCAGAGGCAATTATTACAAAATAGTAATTTAGGGAGTCTCTATTAATTATTTCCAAATCTCTTCTGTTCTGCCCTGACTCCCACTGAGTTTCTACATTTGTTTGTATCTCTTGATAACTTGATTCATGGTCACTTAAATTGTTAATTGGCTCCACTGATAAAACACTATTTTTTTTTTAGAAAATGTGAAACTGTGGTACATAACTTGCAATAATCTTCTCAATTCAATCCACATTATTTACCTTCCTATGATGAACATGAAACAGTGTCAGTGAAGAGCTGGCTTGCATTAATCTGGTTCAAAGTTAACCTGATATTATGCATTGCTACAAGTAGAGGGGTAGATCATGACTAAGAACAGATTAATATTTATAGTTTGGATTATAACATGAGACTAAGCTTTAATATGGTCTCTAGGGCTTGGCTGCACATGTGCTATAAACAGAGCATGTGAGTACATAAACCAAACAACTTTTTCAATGAACTATGTCAGGGATGAGTTGCTGCTGCTATTACTCTCTGTTCGGTGCATGCGTGCATCAGGGGTGGGTTTCTCGCCCCGTTCCAACCGGTTCGGTTGGAACGGGGCCGGCGGTGTCCTCGTGCACGCGCGCAGTGCACGCATGTGTACTAGCGTCTGTGCGATGCTCCAGCTGCTCCTGGAGGATCACGCAGGCGCTGTATGCGTCCTGCGCATGCATGGAAGCGCAGAACTCATCAAAACGCTTTGGTCGCGCTGATCGATGATCTCTGGCGGGCCAGGGATAGGGGTCACCCCTCTATCCTTGTGCTTCTTGACCTCTC